CACCAGCCTGGAGCTCTACCTCCTCTGCACGCCTTCCCACAGGAGAAAAACAGACCCCTACATTTCAATCCAGAGGTGTGGGTTTTCTGTTACAGCATGCTAAGTCGAATCAGTCGTGTCCAACTCTTTGTGACCCCATGCACTGCAGCCCACCAGGCTCCCCCATGGAGACCGTCCAGGCAAGAATACTGGAGTGGGTTGCCATGACCTCCTCCAGGGGATCTTCCCGACCCAGGGATCGAACCTGCGTCTCCTTGCAGCCCCTGCGTTGCTGGTGGAATCTTAGCCACTGAGCTACCAGGGAAGACCCTTGGGTTTTCTCTTACATGCAGCCAAACTTAATCCAGAAGTGCTAGGGAAGAGATGTCCTTGCTGATAAAAGAGATGAGTAAGGCCTTTGTCCCAGAGGTCAATAGTGATAATCTCTCAGGAGAGAGAGAAACTCAGAGGAATAATCCTAACCCAGTTGGGGTGCTCACAGGGGTTCAGAACGGGGAGAGAGAGCTTCTGGCTAAAAGCATTTAAACTGAGCCACTTCACATGAAAAATACCACATTAATCCCACCTGGAGAGACACTGTTCAAGAGAGTACATCCCTACCAGCGGACTGCACAGGTTTGAGCCTCATTGGGGAGATACAGAGGCGACTCCCCTTCCACAGCCAGGTGGAGCTGAGGGGCCAGACTGCACCTGGTGGGCATCTAGGACTTCCACCCACCTCCCTCCTTTCTATCCGCCCACCGAAAGAGCCCCAGATACGTGTTCTCAGGGCCCCGAGGGGACCAAACTTCCCCTGGGAGGAGGTTTCCGTCCCATGTTCCAAACCATCGCAGCAAAAGTGCCAATGAGGATGCTGAGCCACAGCCTGCAGGGAAGATGGCCCTGCCGTGGCTGGGACACCCCGAGGCTGTCTGAGCTCAGCTGCCCAGCCAGGGAGCCGGAAAACACTGCCAGGGGTTCATAGCGCTGGTCTCCCAGACAGCCTGAGGCCTGGGCCGAACACGGAGCACCGCCACAAACAGGAACCAACGGCGTGGCTGGCCCGCCCCACTGCGGGAACTCGGCCACCCAGCACTGTCCCCGCCGGGTCCTCCACGCGAGGCCAGGGCCCATGACCCCCCGAGGGTCTCTGATGTCTTCCTCCTCTCAGACTCCCGGGGGTCCCCTCTCTGCCACCGCCATCTCCACAACCCACTGCTGCTACCGGAGCAGGTCTGGTCCATCCCGCACCCCCCGCCCTAGCTCACCCAGTCCCAAACGGGGCACCTCCTCCACCCACCAACTCCACTCCACACGGGCTCTGGGCCATCAGCACTCCCCAACCACAGATGCTCTTTAGCGTTCACACCCTTGTGATCTGAGGGGTGGTTCTTTTCTATTTTTTTAAATTGAAGTAAGAGATTGAGTTTCCCTGGCGGCTCAGACGGTAAAGAATTTGCCAGTAAGGCAGGAGACCCAGGCTTGGGTTTCAGGTATACAGCAAATCACATAACAAAGTCAAAGTTTTAGTCACACAATCTGGTCCAACTCTTTGTGGCCCCATGGACTGTAGCCCACCAGGACACCCTGTCTATCACCAACTGCCAGAGTTTACTCAAAGTTATATCCATCAAGTCAGTGATGCCATCCAGCCATCTCATCCTCTGTCACCCCCTTCTCCTCCTGCCTTCAATCTTTCCCAGCATCAGGCTCTTTTCCAATGAGTCAGTTCTTCGCATCAGGTGGCCAAAGTATCGGGAGTTTCAGCTTCAGCATCAGTCTTTCCAATGAATATTCAGGACTGATTTCCTTTAGGATGGACTGGTTGGATCTCCTTGAAGTCCAAGGGACCTTCAGGAGTCTTCTCCAACACCACAGTTCAAAAACATCAATTCTTGGAGGACAAAGGGCTTCTCCATTGCCCCCCGTCCTCCTGGTAAACACCACCCAGGAGAAAACGGAACTAGTCCTCCACGGAGACACAACAGACACACCCCAGGGCCCCAGCCTCAAGCTCTGGCTCCACCCACCCCACCCCACACCCAGAGAAGGATCCTGATCAAAGAAGCATGAAGAGCACTGCTTTCACTATGAAATCAGTAACTACAAAAAATATTTTACCTAAAACACACAGGCTGTAACAGTCAACAGAACTCCACTTGCCATCTCAAAGGTTAAATATGAAAAGACACCCATTTCTTCTCAGCACATCACATAGTCAAAAACCACACCTTCAGCACCCTGCTGAAAACACACTTCCATCAAATGAGCCGGCCTGCATATGCAGATTCACATGGTGCTAACTGGCTTTAGCTGTTTCTTTTACGTAAAGTCAATATTTTTATGGATCATTAAATGTCCCGCTCAGCATATTAATTTCAAAAGAAACAGTGATGGCTATAAAAACAAATTCCCTGGTGCAATCAATGTAAAGACTGAAGATAACTAACTATATTTGCTATATTGCTATAGCTGAGTGTCTTAACAAGCTGGTACCAACAGTGAGATGGTCTTCAACTCAAGCAAAAAAAATAAATTTTGTACTAAAGTCTTTCTTCCTGTGATTTAAAGCTGACTGATGTGGGTTTAAGTTCAATATAAGCTACTTTGGGGACTTCTCCCATGGTCCAGTAGATAAGACCCCACATTCCAACCCAGAGGACACAGGGTTTTAACCCTGGTTGGGAACTAAGATCTCAGATGCCTCAGGATAACCAAGCCCATACACTGCAGTTGGATTTCCCTGGCTTCCACTACCAGCCACCCACCACAGCTCTGGGGACAAAATGTAGTGAGGCAATTCCAAAGTCCATTTCAAGACTGCCCTTTTCCATTTTGACTCCACCTGTTTGACTTCATATGACTAGAACGCTAAATTTCTAATTGACATGCAACAAAGGTTTACTCTATAGCACAAGGAACTATAATCAAAATCTTGTAATTATCTATAATGGAAAATAATCTGAAAAATAATGTATGTGTAACTGAATCACCTTGCTGTGAACCTAAAACACTGTAAGTCAACCATACTTCAACAAAACATATATACTAAGAAAAAAAAATTTTTTTTTTTAAACTGTCCTTTTCAATGTCTCCACCTGACAGCCAGCCCCCTCCAGGTACACAGGCTACTTCACTTAGTCAGGTTACCCTTGAGCTGACATCCTGGGAAAACACTTTAGCTCTTGAAATAGATGAGGCATTCTGGGCTTGGACCCTAAGACCCAATGGATTGATATCAAAATTTAAGGTCAAACCTTATTTCCCTTATATTGAAGTTCTTATATTTGGGAAGACTTTTGGTATAAGCCTAAAGAACTGAACACAATATCATAAGTGTGTTTAACATTTTGAACATGCTGATAAAAGACAAGTATGCCAGTAACAAAAACACCTGGCCGTCAGCACTATATATTAATATTAGCATTAAACACTATATATTAATATCAGCATTAAACACTATATATTAATATCAGCATTAAACACTATATATTAATATTAGAATTAAACACTATATATTAGCACTGTGCTCAGCTGCTTCAGTCTGACTCTGCAATCCCATGGACTGTAGCCCACCAGGCTCCTCCATCCAAGGGATTCTCCAGGCAAGAATACTAGAGAGGGTTGCCATTCCCTCCTCCAGGGGATCTTCCTGACCCAGGGATCAAACCCAAGTCTCCTGCTTCACAGGTGGATTCTTGACCACTGATGTACCAGGGAAGTCCACATTAGCATTAAATACTATGCATTAGCGCTGGGTGTCCGCATCCACATGTGATGTAGAAACGTCACATCACATGCATCCTCTCCAGACACCAGGGACTATTTGGAAAAAGAAGAAAGGTTTATCTCAGACCTCAAGGATGGCTAACTGCATCAGTTCTCAGGTTAGCAAGAGTAAAAAAAGGAAATGGAACATATGAAACTAGCCACTAAGGAGGCAATGCGACCGGAATAAAAAGAGGCCATGAAGGCTGGGGAGGAAGGTAAGTGGACAGGTTTATTTTCTAGTTCAGGGCACAGAGGTCATGGTCAGCTCCTCCCACACTACAAGACCTGCACTTTGGAAAAAGTGCCTCCTCCTCGAAGCTCAAAATGAGGCATAATGATACACCTTCACCAGTTAATGGTACCGTACATGAGAACAGTCTATAAATGCCCTGGCTATATTATAATCTGTAAACTGTCCTGGTCCCAAATCTAAGTGAAAATAAAAATAGTGGGATTGAAATAGAGCTCTGATCTATAGTTCCATTCTTAACCAAAGTGTCTGTCTTTCAAGGGTAAGAGACTTTCTTCTATCAATAGAAGTCGTCTGTTCTATTTTTATCACCAACTTTATCACCATTTTTTAAGGGTAGGGGCTTCAAACAGCCCATTTCTAAAACCCTAGGACTTTCTGGCTGGCGAGTACATTTGTGCCCGAACACGGGGTTTCTGCATGAAACCTCTTCCCTGGCTTCTCAGTGTCTGAAGCCTTGACCCAGGCGGCCCCTGGGGAAACCAACCTCACGCCCACTTCCTGCGGCCGCTGTGACAAATTACACCAACTTGGAGGCTTAAAGCATCACAAATCCATTGTGTTACGGGACTGGAGGTCACGGGTCCAAAATGGGTCTCCTGGGCTGGCCCCAGCATCCCAGAGCTGGATCCTTCTGGAGCACAAGGAGACTCCTGGGGGAGAACCATTTCTCCACCTTCCCAGTTTCCAGGGGCCACCTTCTCTCTGGTTGGTGGCTCCCGGCCCCACCTCTGAGGCCAGCAATGGCCAGTTGTGTTTTTTTGGTGTGGTGTCAATGGGTTCTCTGTTCTCTGCATCACATCTTTTTTTCCAAGTCTTTTAACACTGCGATTACACTGCCCCTCCCCAAGATAATCCAAATAATCTCCCCATCTCCAGGGCCCTAATCCCGATCACCCCTGCAAAGCCTTCTCTACCATGTAAGATACTACGGACTCCAGGAATGAGGAGGTGGGCGTCTTTGCAGGTCATTATTCTGCAGCCACAGCACTCCCGGCTCATGAACGAGAAGGGTGAAGAAGCTGCAGGGAGTTCAAAGCAAGGCACCGGTAAGTCCACTCTGCCCAAGTGTCTCGGGCTCCATAGTGTCCCTGGCTATCGCGACTCTTCAGAGGTTAGAGGATGGTAGGGGGTCAGGGGCGATGCCTCACCCCCACTTGGTGCCCCCACATGCCCGGCTGCATAGTGGCACTTTGCATCAGCCTCAGCCTGTACCATCACCTACCCATGACCACTGAGGTTTAACCTGACCCTGACTCCATCCTTACCCAGCGAGCCACATCAGGCCAGGAACACACACATGTCTTTTTCAGATAGCATGGACGAAAGCTCATTCTCAGATGGGTGGAGAATTTGAAGGCTCTTGTCTTCAGCCAGCGTCTCCAGGGCAGCTGACCCTCTAGAACAGTCAGACAGGTGGTTCTGGACACAAAGTTCCCAGAATCATTGCCCACCAGCTGCCCAAGACCCTAGGGAGTGTCCAGAGTGGCTCTGAAAGCCAACTTGATAAATCAGAGCCCATGACAAGGCACCAATAAATCTGAATATCTGCAAAAAACAGAAGTTGGTAAGCATGGCCAGTAATCACGACCATTTACCCTGGAAAAGTCATATGCCTCAGACTTGCTAAGATACTGGCAATCCTGCCTGAATCCCCTGTATGTTAGAAAGCATACACTTGAACCTGCATGTCTGAATTTTAAAAAGGTACTGTAAATAGTTACAAACTTTAAGGAAAGTGAAAATTAAATTTTAACGCAAATATCTTCAGGACCTTGAATAAATGAAACAGCCCTATGTCCCTAAAATGATGAATAATAAACAAAAAGACATTTATTTAAGACAAAAATGTTAATTACCTTAGTAAATATGAAACATCCACGCAATACAGTATTAGACAGCTACTTTTGTGAAATGGGAAAAACACTTATTTTCAGGATAGGCATAAAATCGTATGAACAATATAAACACTGAGTATGTAAAAACACATTCAGAGACAACAGAAGGAAAATATATCGAGCACTGGCAGAAATTTCCTCTTAAAAAACAAGTGTTATCTGTTAGAGATCTTTAACTGCAAACCACAATTCTGACTAACTCGACCCAAAGAAGTTCTACTACGACCCTGGGAGCCGGGGAACCAAGCTGGCAAACAGGTGAGAAACAAGGTGCTTCAGGCAAGTCCTCACCCAGGAGGAGTCACTCTGGTCCCACTACCAGGGATAAATGCGCTCCGAGTGCTGGTACTTTTAAACTCTGTCACTTTCCTCAAATCCTTGGGAAGGAACACTGTTTACCTAGGTCACAGGCCTACCCCAGGGGTAAAGCCCCTTCTTAACAACACCATTCCCCGCCCCCAAGACTCTACCACGTGGGGAGAGGTGTAATCCCCCAGAGGAGATCAGAGAGCTTTACGGAAGGAGTAGGGTGATAGTTTTAAATAAAAAGTTGTGACTTCCCTGGTGGTCCGGTGTCTAAGACTCAAGCGACCCCAACGCAAGGAGCCCAGGTTCGATCCCTCGTCAGGGAAGCAGATCCCATATGCCGCCACTAAGAGCTGGCACCGTCAAATACGTAAATGAAATGTTTCAATGTGATAGGGCCCAGGTGGAGTCTCGGTGATAAGAAGGCTCCTTATGTCGACCTCACAAACAAAGAATAAAATCACAGTGATCTGTGAGACTGACCCAACTGCCCCAACGGCATCCTTTTATCTCACTGGTGCCTGTCATCTCAAAGATGCAAGACCACCAGATTCCAGACCTCCGGCTACATGACCATCCCTTCAGGGAATTTCCATTGGTGGGGTATAAGGAGGACTCCGTCAGAAAGGGAGGACGCTGGTTCTCCTTAAGGGCCAGTCACCCTCTCTTTTCCCTCTAATAAATTTCCTTTTTCTTGCCTGACTGACCAGCTCACTCTCCTTTTCTCTGCACTCACCTTACACAATGAAATAAAGTTAAAAAAAAAAAAAAAAGTCTGCTTCAGTGGAATCAGCAGTGATGTTTGTCTTTTTTAAAATACTTTCTTTACTTGTTAAGATTCCTTATGAAGATGAAATATTATTTTTACCAAGATCATTACGTTGTTTTCTACACCCAGGGTGGACCCTGCTGACGGCCCATGAATATCCGTCTCCCCCTGCTCCTGAAACCATGGCTGGCTGACGTCTTTCCCCGCAGACAGCCGCAGCGCGGTCACCACGGCCAGGGGTGACCAAGTCCTCCTCACCGCAGGACAGGCAGAGGTACCTCGGACAGGGGGCAGGCGGCCGCGACTTCCTCCCCCGCCCCGCGGGCAGCATGCGGGCACGGCCACCACCCCGGTCCCCACACTCAGGTGCCGGCAGTGCCCTGAAGGCCACGGAGCCCTGGCTCGGGAGGAACGGGAATCTCAGCAGAACGGCCCTGCTCGCGGGAGCCCCTCAGACCGCGCAAGAGGGACCCAGAAATTTCTCCTTCAGCCACCAAAAGAACTGCTGGGTCTCCCTGCTGTAACCTCTCAGCCTCATCCTGATTCAACCGTGCAGACGTCACTACAGGGTCGGCAGGAGTCCCGAGAGCCACACCCCGGGCAGACCACGGGGCCTCCAGTCCGGCTCCCCCCAGCAGAGCCGAGGCCTGGACGAGCTGGGGAGACTCCAGCACTTCAACCCCCCTAGTCTGTAAAATGGAGTTAGTGGGGGTGCCCGCCTCGTCAGGCTGTCGTGAGGACTGAGGGAGTCTGTCTGTGTAAAACACCACAGTGACCGCACAAAGGGATGTTACATTTCTACATTTTTCCAAAAGCACTCATTTTTTTTTAACAGTTATATTTCAGGTATTTGATTTGGAAAAATATTAACACATCTATTCGCCTTAAAAATAAGCTGTGAGCAGGGTGAAAGCTAGAACTGTAAATAGGTAAGAACACATACTAGATCTGTTCTCTTTTACTTGAACATTTGCGCCCCGTGTCCTGTGCTGAGTCATACTGACTCTGCACCTTTTGTAAAAGCATGTTGCCTGTAGCCTGAAACATGCAGGAAGCCCATTCTCAAAGCTCTGACCTTTAAGGGTGTAGCACTTTTCCAATCACATAGAGATAAAAAGTTGCAGAGTAGAGGGTAACATTTGTGTCCTTGGAGGTTCACCCGAATATCCTGATCTGACCTATGTGGACAGCTGCGAGAACAAAGGATTCCCACACCAAGAAGTTTCTGACAGCCAACCTCACCCCTCACCTTGCCTTTAAAAGTGCTTTGCTGAAACCCTTCAATGAGTTTAGGGGTTTGGGTGGCCATCTCCCTGCATGGCCCTGAAATAAACCTTTCTCTGCTCCAAACTCCGACGTTTCGGTTTGTTTGGCCTCAGTGCAGGCTAGGCACACAAACCTGTGCTCAGTAACAGGATAAAGATCATTCTCCATGTGTGTAGCAGGAATTATTAGAACTGTAGTAAGAATGAAGTTTAAGAAAGGCTTAAACTCAGTGGTGTGAGCTGAAGATACAGATTTATTCTGAATCCTTCTCTTTCAGGGTCCTAGGAGTTTAAGTCGGACTTCTCTGCATGGGTCTGTTCCAGTGTGACCACACGTGCACACATACACACACTCACACGTTCACACACAGGCACCCGCCTCGATACAGAGCTGGCCCCACATTTCTGCCCACGGTTTCTGCAGCTGAGGATAAAGTGCTATTCATTCAGTGAAGAGGCATGCTGCTGCCGCATAAAAAGGTGGCTTGTTAATTCATTTCTCAAGTTTTAATACTTTCTTACAATTTCTCCCCAAAACTCTGGAGTGGTTTTAGGTATGTATTACCGCACTGGGGAAAAAGAAATTAACCCTTTCCTGGATCCTGGGAGACCTAACTTCATCCCAGCCGGGGGCCTTTCAAGAAGGTGAAATAAAAAAAGGAGGAAAATAAAATTGTCCATCAGGCAAGGAGCTATGAGTTTACAGATGTCATGTTAGTGGTGAGTTTACTAAGGAAAATTTTAACTGCCCCCTTTCTTTTTTTAAGCATGAATGTATTTACCCAAGGCAATTAACACAAATTTCCTGTGTCCTCTGACAAAATATTCCATGGATATTTCCATAAAAGCATAAAGCGGTTAAATTGTGCCTACCAGATGCAGCCCAGTATGGCTGAAATGTGCCACCGCTACCAGGTAAGAAAGTGTCTTTTGAAAGCTAATGCATGCACTAAGATACTCCGCCCATATTAACCCAAGGGAGTTAATAACACATGGAGTCAAAAAGTAGGCTCACCTCACTCCGATACTGAGGCATTAACATGTGTGCTTGCTTGTTACTTGACAGGTCCATGTGTCTAGACAGGGTTCCCCTGCAAACCGTACCCATTCTTACCCAACTGCTCTTCATGTCTCTAAGAGGCAGAATTTAAGACCAATGGGTAGAAATTGTAGAAAATATGTGGAACTTTCCAACTGGGCCACTCAGATTCAGAATGGACCCCACTGTAAAGCGGTCAGCTTGCCACCTCCAGAAGTATTCAAACAGACTAGACAGTCCAGGATCTTGAGAGAAGCTTCAGTATGAGAATGCTGGCTAGCAAACTCCATAGAGTTCTAGACTCGATCAAGGTTTAGATCAACAAGAGCCCAGGACCTCACCAAGGCGTTAGACTTCAACCTAACGATGTTTTTCTTGTCAACTGCCCAGCCCCAGAAAAGTAAGCTCCAGGAGTGACGAGGCACACCTACCATGTGAGAAGACTTCCCTTCCCGGTCCTTGACCTCCCAGGGAAGGGTAATCCCCACCACGCAGTGCCTGGGTGGCTCTGGGATCCCCCTGGGGATGCTAAGCAGCAGTGAGGAGGAAGAGATGATCCCAGGCTCCTCGCTGGGGGAGGGACACCTCCCTGGAGGGAGCGCCAAAGAGCCCACCCAGGAGAAATGCAGGTAACCAGAACCAGGCCACCCTCTAGGGCAGAGGGCGGACCACAGGGAAGAGCACCAGGGCAGCCCACCAAACCAGAGACCTCCTAGGTAAAACCTTGCAACCTTTCTGATGGTGCCCACGAAATAGTGAAAAGATCCCCAGTCTGCAACCCCAACTCTCAGCTGCCTCAGTGACAGAAAAGCAGAAAGATCACAAAGCCAAAATCACATGACAAGTCACCAGCCTCCCTCCTATAGACTCTCAGGATCACCATCCCCAAATCCAAACCAACTGAAGGATTAAGAAGGCAGCGACAGGACTGCTGGGAAGCAGGCCAGGCTCCCTGCACAGCCCCTGGCTCTGGAGAGGGCTGAAATGCAGAGAGAATTTGCATACTGGAGACCCTCCAATCAAGTCGTTAATAGAGAAACTGCTCACGCTAGATGCCTAAAAACGCTCTGCATTGTTAAACGTGTATCATGTACATGCTGAGAATGACAATGCTTCAGTGACGGCTCTTCTGAATGGACTGTATCCAAAAAATCAGGGTGAGGGGGATAAGCACAGAAGTTCAATGAGGGACCCCCCTGGTGGTCCAGGGGTTAAGACTTCACCTTCCAATGCAGGGGATGCAAGTCTGACCCCTGGTCTGGGACTGAAGATCCCACATGCCTCCTGGCCAAAAAATCCAAAATGTAAACAGAAGCAGCATTGTAACAAATTCAATAAAGACATTTAAAAAAGTAAAATGGTAAGATGGACCCACAGGAGGAAATAAGCAGGTCTCTGCTCTGAGCGGACTGCCATCTTCCTTGTGTGTTGAGCCACGGACGGGCCACCAGCAGCTGGACCTCCAGCCCCGGCCAGTGGCTTTTGAGTGGGAGCGGCAGCCCATCCTCTGACTGTGTTCCTACAATGCCTCCTTTAAGTTGCTGGCACTTGTCAATCACAATGAAGTAACTGGCATGTTTCCCATTTTCCGTTCATCTTGCAAACCAGACTCCAATTGCCATTGGGCAGAACCTCCTTACTAACCTGGAAAGGATGCTCATAGGCAGCTCTTAAGAACCATGCATACATGACAACAACCTTCCTTCATCCTTCAGCCACCTGGACAGTCTAAGGCTTGCAGAGACTTGGGGCAAATATCCCTGGGAGGAGGAGTGAGGCAGGAGAGGAGCAGAAGCATCAGGGGTTTGTAATAGGGAAGAACAAATTTGACTCCATATTACTTTAACTTTGTATCTTGTGGCTCTTATTACCAGTTTAAAATGTTGCCTATGGCCTGAAATATAAAGGAAGCTCTCTCAAATATAAATATAAAGGAAGCTCTCAAGGCTCTGACTTTTAAAGGTATAACCCTTTTCTACTCACATAGAGATAAAGAGTTGCAGAACAGAGAGTAACTTTTGTCTTGTTAGAGGTTTAGAGGAACATCCTTATCTGACCTGATGTCTAAACAGCTCCAAGAACAAAGGATTCCTGTACCAAGAAGTCTGCACCAACCAACCACACCCTCTCCCCTTTCAGCTTGGGTAAAGTGGTTCTTTGGGACAACAGTCCACCATCTCCTCTGACTGCTGGCTTTCCAAATAAAGTTATTATTCCCTGCCCCAACACTTGTCACTCAATTTACTGGTATGTCATGTGGGGGGGGGCAGTATGAGCTTGGACTCAGTAGCAGAACTAAATTTAACTGGGATTCTGACCGGGATTAGAGAGTGTGGAGAAATGGAAAAGTGAAAGTTGCTCAGTCACATCTGACTCTTCGTGGCCTCAAGGGCTGTTCAACCCACTAGGCTCCTGTAATTGAAATGATGAAATAATGAAATTACATCAGGCCAGCTAGAACATGATGCCTCAAAATAATAGCAATACTAATAACAATCAGCTCCTGATTCGGATGAATGGTGGGGATGGTTGAACAACAGTGTGAATATACTTAAATGTTACTTAACTGTACACTTTTAAGTAACTGTTTTTAAATGGTTAAGATGGTAAGTTTTATGTGTATTTTACCACAATAAAGAAAAGTTCTTGCTTAAGCTTTAATTTTTTATAAACCGAGAGCAGATATTCACTGGTCAGCATCCTCTGTAATTCCACATTAAGAATTTCTTTTAAACTGTGGCCATGGTTGTGCTGTGCTTAGCCACTCAGTCGTGTCCGACTCTTACGACCCCATAGACTGTAGCCTGCCAGGCTCCTCTGTCCATGGGATTCTCCCAGCAAGAACGCTGGGGTGGGTTGCCATTTCCTTAAAATAAATGAAAATGTTGAATCAAATAATGACCAGGTAGTCAGGCCATGCTGCACCTCTGTCTTTGCCACTTCCATTATGTATGGCATCCGAGTTTTTATCTCCATAGTGTGTTGATGGCCCACAGAAAACAAGGACATTTCCAAAAAAGTGTCCTTCGCCAAATCCTTTTTCACAATCGATTCTAAATCTTCCAGGTTGAGAGAATTAAGTAATGTAAGCCAAATGCTGCAATCTGGATCAATCTAGATTTAATCAGATCTCCCTTTTTCCTAGAAATTAGTGTACTAAAAATGGCATATTTTCAAACAAATTAACAAGGATTAACTGTATTCCTTGACGGATACTAACAAATCTCAGTTAATGTCTTGATTTGATTGCTATCAACTTAATTGATAGTAACAAGGATATGCACTCACCTACTTTTAATTTCCTGAAACACAAACGTTAGAGTTTTTAACAGTATTTCTACAAAATACACCAATTTAAGATTCATAAGTGTCTACTTGGTTAAC